ATGCCAATTTAAGTCATTTTAAATGTTTTTCAACTTTGGAGTGGTTTCTGGAAGTGGGGAAAGAAAACTTTGGCATATATCAAAGTTAAATGCAAAATAAAATTTATTGATCTCTTTGGTACTTATCGTTCTTGAAATTGACATCTCAAAGAGGTTAAATTAAAGATAATCTCCTCTCCTGCATGAGGATATTAAGTTCTAATAAATAAAATGAAGAATGATAAAATGTCATCGAGGTAATTTATTAAGAGAGGAATTACTTACAATTTAGTCAATCAATCAATTGATTAAATGAGCGAAGGCCGGATCTACTATTCTCTGATTACTTATTAAGTAAGAAGACCATCATTGTCAAAGAGACAACATTGCCTAATCATTGAACAGGAAAGAGTGAGTTGGATGAGTTGGGCTCGATCATTCGCGATCCAGGACATGGCCCCACTTCCACCCTCTACGTGTAAATAAACCAATAAATCCTTATATTTTACTATTTATGTAGTTGACCTTGTAGTTGTATATTTTAGTTACCTTACAATTATAGCCTCTGATCGCCCGACGTATAATGAAAACTGTACAATGAAGAACCTCGCTAAATTTAATATTTCCTCTGATGTAGAGTATAGAGAAGAGTTTAGAGTAATTCATTTTAGTTACTTATATTATATAAGCATATGTAGATTGAGCTTAACCACTTTAAACTAAACTTAATCAATCAATAATCCAGTACCTTTGTTTAAGTTACATCTATCTAGATCCGAAAAATTGAGGATAGGTTAATCAAGCCAACATATTTATTTCCTTGGTGGTTTAATCAAGCGAAACGTATTTATTTCCTTTTAAACGCCATATTAATTTGCAGGAAATATTTGTTGCAAAAAAATAAAAACGAAATATGATATAGAAAATCATTATTATAAAAATAGGATACGATATATATTTTCTCAAAGGGCCATTTGAATTTTAGTACCCTAAAGTTTAATTCTTTTTCATCTTTGATACTATGAAATTCCTTTCTTACAATTTGATACCCTGACTTTTCAAACTAACCTTAACCTGCCAAAGTGTTAACTTTGTTCTTCTGCCAAAGTGTTAACTTTGTTCTTCGCTTTTTTGGGGAAAAAAAACTGAAATGTGGCAAAGGATTTTGAATTAATATCCGTCGTTTTCTATGTTTGTATTTCTTAGCAAAATTAACATCTCATTTTTTATTTTATTTTTTCTCTACACTTTAGGGTATCAAATTGTGAAAATAGAACTTTATGATATCAAATTTAGGAAATGGGTAAAACTTTAGGGTATTGAAATGCAAATAACCATTTTCTCAAACTACAGGGGCTTATATGAAACAATAAAAGAGAAATTAACAGTTAAGTCTATGAAATAATAACAAATCAATATTTATTTCTTTCTCCGTCCAAGAAAGACAGCGGTCCTTCACGCTTCGACAGCCAAAAGAAGGAACGAAAAGATAAAAAAGGGCGAAAACAAAGAGATCAAAAATCAACGATGCCCTTTGAAGTCGGCGAGTGAGGACACGAAGCGATCAAATTTGGATCCTAAAAACCTAATCATTTTCTAAATTAATCGTTGATACTCAGAGAATTTGGCGGGCGATCGAACAAATGGCAACGATGCAGAGCTGGCGAAAGGCCTACGGCGCTCTCAAAGACACCACCACCGTCGGCCTCGCTAATCTCATTGGATCCTAAAAACCTAATCATTTTCTAAATTAATCGTTGATACTCAGAGAATTTGGCGGGCGATCGAACAAATGGCAACGATGCAGAGCTGGCGAAAGGCCTACGGCGCTCTCAAAGACACCACCACCGTCGGCCTCGCTAATCTCA